TAACATTGGGACTCTAGATATGAATAAAGTGTGTGTGTGTGTGTGTGTGTGTGTGTGTGTGTGTGTGTGTGTGTTGATTTCTATAAACCATTCTGATGTCCTCCAAGCAATTCAGTTTTCATGTCAGCAAATTCTAGTTAAAGTTGAAATTATCTCAGCTGTGAAAAGAGCTGAGATGGTTTGTGAGAAACTCTCTTGAGGCCTGCAACTCTCAAAGGCCTGGAAGTGGTCTTGTTCTTAACACTGAGGCTGAGGAAACATCTAAGGGCAAATTGCAGAGTCATTATTCTGAAAAATAAACAACGGTATAATAAGATGTCTGTCGAATTGGGTGTTAGTTATCCTACTGTGGCATGCTTATAGCTAGCAGATATGAACATTTATATTTTTAGTTTCTGATTCAACCCAAGAATTAACACAAGCTCTACCAGGAGTGGCATCAGTCAGCCAGCAGGACTGTCTGTATTATAATTACACACCGGAGTATCACTTAGTGATGTCTATGGAGATTCTCAATCATCCAGGTTATGGTTGTCCTGAAAGTGCTTTTTCAAAAGGCAGCTAGACTTTGTTTTTCCATGAGGAAAAATGTCTCCCTTGAAAAAGCATCTTTAGGATCACTTAATCATACAGTTATTAGCGTTCGCAGAAGAACGATTGAAGAGGAAAAGCTGAAAATGCTCACTTGGTAGTTCGCCTAATCTCCCCCTTCTTCATATCTAACTTTTCTGATGAGGCAATTAGTGAGCTGCAGTCCTGCTTCTGCTTTTTAAGAAATTATCCTCTCTTTATTTATATTGCAGGAATTTTAGTCCTGTGTTTTTGAAGTGTCAAAATTGAAATCAAAACAAACATACTAAAACTATTTGATTCCTGTATCATTTAATGACAGTATGTAAACCTTATACTGACAAATCCATACAGCTCCCCTCCATTCCGTATTATGCAAAGATATATGAGCATTCTTTTTTTATTAAAATAAAATTTGAAATGCAGTCCATTCCACTCCCGAAAACACTGCACAAGCAACTGAAGTGTTGGTTCTTACTGTGGGCTTTGAACTTTTATTCAAGTGTGAATTGTTCTGAATCAGAAACTGTAAATGCAGAAGAGGCTAGGATTCTGTCTCCATATAAAGAAAAACTCAGAGCAGGCTGTGACTGCATGATCTATCTTCTAATCTGAAAAGGAAATTCTACTTGTTGGTGGGCTATATTGGGTTTTTTTAGATTGAATTTAGGCTTAGCTTAGACTTAAAATGCTAAAAATAAATATTTAGGAAGTTTTGTATACCCGTGGTTTAAAAATTTAGGAAGTTGTTTATACGTGTGATTCAATACTATTGGATTTTAACTATGATTGTCAGGGTTCCAAGTAATAACGTCATAGAAAGCAGAACTCCAAGGCAGGCAGGTTCCTCAAAGAACAATTTTATTGGAGATATCATATTGGCACAAACTGGTGAAAACCGACTCTGAAAGTTCCCGTGGTTTTCACCTGATTAAAAAGTTAAAATCCCCCCTTTCTCCAAACAATCAGTCACATTGTCTAATCGAGGTGCTGGCTGGTTGCCTGGTTACTTTACTCCTCCTCTCTCCAGCCACCTGTTGGAATGTCCTTGGCTCCCACAGGAAACAAATTCTATGCCACTAGTGACTTGGAAAGTGGTCAGTCCGGTGCTACTGTGTACCACATTATTGTATCCCACTTTGGCATACAATGAGCAGGAAGGCTGATATACTCAGTTACATTAACCATGAATGCACCATTAGGAAACTTGAAAGAATAGGTTAAAGATACAGTTCTGTCCAATCTGTTTGCTGATAGTTCACATAGGATCTTAAATACTGTTCCACCACTGCGTTTGAGCATTCTGCTGCCCCATTAGTGCTCGGATGAAATACCGAACTAAGTCCCTGTGAGGACCCAATGGACTTTATGAATTCCCTCCAGAACTTGACTGTGAACTGGATCCCCCTATCGGAGATGATTCTCCGAGGGACACCATGCAGCCTATAAATATGCCTTACGAACAGTTTAGCCAGTTTATGGGCAGATGGGAGACTGGGACAGCTATGAAGTGGGCTTGTTTCAAGAATAGGTCTATTATGGTCCAAATGACTGTATTTCCCCCACTGTCAGGGAGCTCTATGATAAAGTCCATGGCAATCTCTTCCCACAGCCAGGAATAACTCCATAGAAAGCAGAACTCCAAGGCAGGCAGATTCCTCGAAGAACAATTTTATTGGTGATATCATATTGCCACAAACTGGTGAAAACAAATTCTGAAAGTTCCCTGGTTTTAACCTGATTAAAAAATGAAAGTTCCTCCTTTCCCCAAACAATCAGTCACATTGCCCAATCAAGGTGCTGGCTGGTTATCTGGTTATTTTGCTCCTCCTTTCTCCAGCCATCTGTTGAAATGTCCTTGGTTCCCACAATAAGGGGGATTGTACTATACTAAGGGGGATTGTACTATACTATACTATCCTGTACTACGTATTATTCTGTGAAATATTTAGAATTACAGAGTTGGAAGGAACCTTGGAGGTCATCTAGCCTAACCCTTTGCTCAAGCAGGACAATACTATACTATTTCTGATAAATGGCTGTCCAGCTCTTTTTGAAAATTTCTAGCACCTACAACTCTTGAAGGCAAGCCATTCCATTGGTTGATTGTTGAAATTTGGAAATTTCTCCTTAGTTCTAGATTGCTTCTCTCCTTGATTATTTTCCATCCATTAGTTTCCATCTTGCCTTCTGGTGCTTTGGAAAATAGTTTGCATCTCTCATCTTTGTGATAGCCCCTCAAATATTGGAACCCTGCTATCATATCTGCCCTATTTCTTCTTTTCACTAGACCAGACATGCCCAATTCCTGTCACAATTCTTTATACATTTTAGCCTCAGGTCCCCTCTTTGTTGGTCTTCTAGAGTCTCTTTCTCGAGTCTCAATTTCTTGAGTTCCATTAGTGTTTACATATCCTTTAGTATATTGCTATCTATTTCAATTCATTTCAATTAACCAGTCAAGAATATTTCACTTTTTTCCCTTCCAGTGTAGGATGCCTGGAATTTCCATAAATGATACCATTGGAACCCTAAAATTAAAGATAGCAAGATGGAAAGATGATGAAAATATAGAAAAACAGATAAAAAGACCCAATGTATAGGTCCTAGAGCAGAACAAGTATGAGTTCCAGGTGTGGTGGTGGTGAATTCTCTTCTATTTAACTTTTACTTTTATCTGTTTTCCAAAGGATTTTCAAATCAAGACCTGCTAATCTGTACCAGATAACAGTTGATGTTTGACCATTTCATCCAACATTTTGCAGGGAAATGGATTCCTACTCCATTAATTAATATTAAACCTTTGTCCTGATTTCTAGAATTAGAGCAACGTTGTAGCTTCCAACTTCCAAATTCCATTTCTCCACCATTTTCAAAACAGGTTAAGCATCAGTCACTTATGATGTCACTCCAAAGAAGGAAAGTTGTTGATCAGACATATAAAGAAAACAGTGCCATGTTGCCAATGGTTCAATGGCAATTAAGTCCCTTATGAATGAATGCAATCATTCTATTATTCTAGCAGGCCACAATATCAATCGTTCTGCACAGAAGGGAATAGAAAGTGAGAAAGGATCTATATATATATATACCAAGCACATCATGGAGGAAGGAAGTCGTAATGCTGACTCTGTGAGATTCATTTCCACAAAGTTCTCTTCCTTCTGTTTATCTGCCAGAAGTTCTCCTTGAAGATAGACTCAGAAATTTTCTCCCTAAAATCATAAAATTGATCCTCCTGGTGTTCCGGATGCACAAAGCAGTTACTCTGAGCTGTCCTGCAAGTGATGCTTTCCCTGTTCCACATGAGTGGTATCAGCCTGGTGACCTCGTCATCGGTGGGATGATGTCTCACTTGATTTACCATTTCTATCAAACTCTATTCAAACAACACCCTTTTCTCAACCTTTATGATTCACCAATGTAAAGATTTTCCTTTGTATCATCTGACCTTAGACCCACATAGCAAAGAATCATTTATATGGCTGTTTGTGTAGGAAATGTAGAGTTTTTCATGTAAATGTAAGAATTCTTTGTGTTTTGAAAGTTTTCTAGTGGTGAGAGAAGAGGGAACTTCATTTGTGTTTGTTTCATTAACAACATTCTCGTAAGTAAAGCATATTTGATTGTGAGGAAATTATCAAAAAGAAGCATGCTAAAAAAAATCAGCTCTGCCACATTTCACAACACAAAAATAAAGGTGGTTTTCCAAAAAGCAACTGAACATTATTGTTTTTTTCTTTGAAAATGTTTTCTCCAAAATGCTTCTTGTTCTGTCTCAGTTCTGGCTCAATTCTGGAGGCTTCTTGAATGAGAAGCAAAATATTTTCAAAGAAAAACAAAACAAAACAAGAAAGTCCATTTGCCTTTTGGAAAAGCACTTTTGGGTCAACCATGACCAGGATGACCAAGAATCTCCATAGACATAAATATTGGAAGTTAGTTAAATTATTGGCATTCTATTTTGCTGAACAGGTGAGGAATGATAGGAGAAGAGTAAATGTGTTTTAATATTTCTCTTGCAGCCAAAGTGGACACACACCTTAGATTTTGTCTCTGGGAGAACTTAGAATTATGAGAAATCATAGAATATTCCTTCAGAACTGAAAAGATTCAGATGAAGAAGATGCATGGGTTTAGAGAGAATCTCACCCTTCATCTATAATTCTTTCTAACTCAGTAATGTTCCTAGAAAACTAAATCAACAGAGAAAACAAGCCACAGCATTCTAGGTTAAACTGAAGGCTGAAGTTAAAACTACAGACATTAATATTGTATGCCTGATGATGAGTAACTTTCTAGAAAAATATAAAGGGAAAAAAATGTATGCAAGATACATTTGGACTGATTACAAAATTGTTTAATACATCAGTCAGAAACACGTTTTCCAGTTACAAACAGTACCATACTAAAATAATTTGCAAATGATGATGATGATGATGATGATGACGATGATGATGATGATGATGATGATGATGAAAAGGTGTACTTAATCTATTTGCAGTGTAATAACCAAATTCTACCAACACGTCCTTGCCTTGGCCTTTGCTGTGAGGGAGATCAATGAAGACCCCCAGATCTTACCTAACATCACTCTTGGGTTCCACATCTATGATAGTTATCACAATTCAAGAATGACCTATCGCACCACTCTGGACCTCCTTTTCAAATCTCAGGAATTTGTTCCTAACTACAAATGTGATAGCCAGAAGAATCTGATGGCCATCATTGGAGGATTAGGTTCTGATACATCATCTAATATAGCTGAAGTTGTAGGTTTTTACAAGATTCCACAGGTCAGTATGGAGGAGATGAACAGAAAAAAATTGTACTTTGTTGTTATGGCATAATTACTGAGAATCAGATATTAGATTTGTATTAAGACATTCTACAGACCTTAAGGTATAATACTTAGCACTCTTTTATGAAGCTACAATGCCAATCATAGAAGTGAGTATCTAGAGTCATTCCATTCCATTCCATAGATTTGAATTTAGCACACTCTCATCTTGTTCAAACAAATGAACTATTATAATGTGTTTGAAATAATTCCTAGAAATTCCATTCTATATTAATATTTCAAAAGAAATAGAGGAAAAGTTCCTTCTTTGGAGATCTTTTACAGGAAAACTAGATCCAGAAAGATTGGATTTGAGCTAATGACTCAACAGAGTATTATTCTGCTTTATTTTAGCTGACATATGGCTCATTAGCCCAAGAGGAGTTTCAGACCAGTGAGCTCTCTTCACTTTATTTCATGGTCCCAAAAGAGGACCATCAATACATTGGAATTATCCAACTGCTTCATCATTTCAGATGGACATGGATTGGGATTTTTACTATGGATAACAACAACGGAGAACGTTTCTTACAGAAAATGCAGCCCATACTTTCACAAAATGGAATCTGTTCATCGTTCATACAAAGGCTTTCACAACTAATCCACATAGAACACATTGGAGAACTTTATCACATATTCTCAGATATTTCCAATATTTTGAAGAATAGCAACACCACCACATTTCTCGTCTATGGAGAATCAGGGACAATTATGTGGCTCAGGGCTGTCATGTTTGTAGCAGATCCTGAAAACAAGGAAACTGCATTACTTAGAAAGGTGTGGATCATGACTGCACAGATTGATTTTGTGCTGTCCGGCCTTCAAATCAGTTGGGATCTCCAGATGTTCCATGGGGCTATTTCCTTCACTGTTCATTCAAGAGCAGATGTAAGTTTCAAGGAGTTTCTTCAGACCATCAAACCTCATTCAGGCTGCAGAGATGGGTTTCTGCAGGACGTTTGGGAACAATCATTTGATTGTTCATTCTCAAAATCAGAATTACAAGAAATGTCCAATAGGCAGTGCCCAGTGGAAAAGAAACTGGAGGATCTTCCTGGGCCCATGTTTGAAATGGAAATGACTGGACAAAGCTACAGTGTCTACAATGCTGTTTATTCTGTGGCTCATGCTTTGCAAGCACTACTCATGTCAGGGTTCAATAAGAAAAAAAGTATGATGCATAGAAAAATTGACCTCCCACCTCTGCAGCCTTGGCAGGTATTCTCTCTTCATTGGACACTTCTTTTATTTCAATGAGCAATTTGATCTAGAATTACCATTTGAAGCTATAGAAGAAAATCTTAATATTTTTACCTTATGAAATCCAGTTAGGTATGAACATCAAGAAACTACTGTATTGTTAAGTAATAGAGTTGTAATGGGAACCTGGCTTCCCCCTTGACTTTGCTTGTCAAAATGTGGCAAAGGTCATAAATTTGAAAGCTGAACATAAGTCACATTTTTCAGTGTCTTTGCAACTTGTCACTAAACAAGCTGTTGCAACTAGAGGACTACCTATATTATCCATCCAACTCTCATTTTTTTATTCTCTTTTACATAGCTCCATCCATTTCTACATGGCATTTCTTTTAACAATTCGGCTGGAGAGAAAGTTTCCCTGAATGAAAAAGGGGAAGTAATGGGTGGATTTGATATCATCAACCTCATCACATTTCCAAATAGGTCTTTTCAAAGAGTTAGAATTGGAAGAATAGATCCGAGTTCTCCAACAGGCAAAGAATTATTGATTGATGAAGATTTGATTGTCTGGCACCCAGCTTTTAATCAGGCATGGACTCATTTAATGGACTATATCTTGGGCTATTATGATCCCAAATAGGGGCTCTTAAACCATATTGAGCAAAGCCTCTTTAGAAATCTAATTTCTATGTTTGCAAGAAAAAATGGCATACTAGGAACAAATATGGCCCATGATCAATCACTAATCGAATGGACAAAATGATTTTGCAATGTAAAAGTCAGATTTTCTTTTTGGTTGCAATTACCTTTCAAATTATGGACATTGCCTTATTTCCGTAAAATTTTAATCCCTCATATTTATTTACTCAACTTGCCTTTTTCAAAGAGGCCGTTTTCCTCATCACTGTAATTTCAACAAATTTTAATGCATAATATAAATCCAGCTAGGTAATATTCACTAGCCCTTTGGAGAAGTAAAGAATTCTTTACCCCAATAAAAGGTGATGATTAATAACTCACCAATGAAGGTGTCCCAGAATAATGTTGAAGAATCTACTTTGAGTCAGTCACTGGTCCACCTTTGGTCCCGGTGACTGTTCCAGATTAGATCCTGCAGGATTAATAAATGTTTTTTTCTTAAAACCTCCCTTTGCAAGAATCTTTTATGTTTATCACCAGGTACTTCCAATTTCTCTGTGTAATGACCATTGCTCCCCTGGATACTGGAAGAAGGAGATTGAAGGAAAACAATTCTGTTGCTATGACTGTGTTCCATGTCCAGAAGGGAAGATTTCAAATCAAAAGGGTAGGTTAGACATTCCAGGAAGTTTTCATTAGGTTGATTTAAGCAAACAAAGAGGAGCAGTGGTTCAATAGCTTAATGATGCTAGAGAAGGTCATTAAGCTCCAACGGTTTGAGTCCTAGCACGGTGTGGGGTGGTGAGCTTCCGTTACTCATCTCAGCTTCTGGCGATCTAGCAGTTCGAAAGTATGTTATATGGAAGGAGATAAATAGGTACCACTTCGGTGGGGAGCTGAGCTGGCACTTCATGTGGACGGTTAGAATCCTGCTGGCACTGCACTTCCCATTTGTGATGTCCATTTGTGAGGCAGCTTTAATGTAGGGACAGGGCCCATATGATGCTGCTGTCAGGGTTCTGACCGATGCCCTAATAAAAGCAGGAGCCTCAAACCAAGTTTCAAGAAAAATCCAGTTGTTTATTAGGAGCACCATGTTGGCACGAACCAAATGAAGCCAGCTCTGACGTCATTCAATTCGTACCTTGCCTCTGACTCTGTTTTCCCCTTCCCCCAAGGTGTGTCATAAGTCACATTCCCCAACGAAGCAATTTTGCGGGTCATGAAAGTCATTCCCTCCAGCCATTACTAGTTTCTGTGGAGATAGCCTTGACTTTGGCCAGCTCGGATGTGTTTTCTTTTGACTGAGGTGCAAATTCCTCGATGCAGGTGCAAGGGTTGATTCTCCGTCCCCTGCCTATGCAACTTGGGAGCAGGTCATTTGCACCTGAGTAGTGCAAATGATATGAAGCCTTCTTGAAACTACTGAAAGGACTGTATTGTGGAGCTGTGCTTTGTGCAGCTGTGTTCCTTTTTGCCCTGTGTCCCTTCACTGTGGAAGACAGACACAGGCTGTTGGGGATGAGTCTGTGTTGTCTGCTTCTCAAACTGAAGCACAAATGGTTCCTGTACTCTGCAATTTTTTTCCTGGAAATCCATTCATACTTCCACACCATTTGAAGGGTATTCATCCCAAAGTGCATAGCTAAATGTCAATGGAGGTTCTCATTCATCCAGGTCATGGTTCTCCCAAAGTTGCTTTTTAATGAGCATCTGTCTGCAAGGAATATAAATCCTTCCATTCCCCACCATCCAGTCAGAGCTAAAGAAGCTTCTTGGAGGAGAAGCGAAAGATATTCAAAGAAAAAACAAGAAAGTCAAGTTGCCTCTTGAAAAAGCATCTGTGGGACAACCAAAGTCAGACCTGGGTGACTGAGAATCTTCATAGACAAACAGAGCTAGCAGTCTTAGGGCAGCCAAGTACTAGTCTGTATAAGCATTATAGTCTCCTGGCTAATGTAACATCACCATATACTAAATAAATAAGTACATTTTTTTATTTTACTTTAATAAGCAAAGTGTAATTTGCACACCTTAGTATGCAAATAACTAATACTTTTAGTTATTAGTGAATATTCATTTTTATAGCTGTGACTCACAATCTGTTGTTCAGGTCAATACACTCTGTTACTAGAGACTTACATATATCTTTACGGTTTTCTTTTCCATGTTTGAGAAAAAATGGCGAAAGTCCAAATGGCCTACATTGCAATAAAATTTAAAATGATACAAAGGGTTGCATTTCAAAGAATAATATTCCTTCCATTTCTGCTTCGTTTTAAGCCAGTCCTCAAATTTTCCATTTGAGGAAAAACTGAATTTTCATAGAAATATGATCCATCTGGTAAACGGTGGAAAGAACTCAAATGAATAACAACTCTCACCCATTCAGAAAGTAATTTGAATACTATAGGATACCTAGATGATAAATTCCTTGATTTTCCTTCCAGATATGGATGACTGTTTGGAATGTTCAGAAGATCATTATCCCAATAAAGAAAAGAATGGATGTATTCTGAAATTGCTGGTCTTTCTAAGCTTTGAAGAAACATTAGGAATTGGTTTGGCCTCAGTAGCTCTTTGTTTCTTCTTCTTGACATCTTGGGTACTTGGAACTTTTATTAAGCACAGGGATACTCCCATTGTGAAAGCCAACAACCGGTCCCTCACCTACACTCTGCTTGTCTCTCTTCAGCTCTGTTTTCTCTCCTCTTTGTTGTTCCTCAGCCAACCTAACAAGGTGACCTGCCTTCTCCGACAATCAACTTTTGGCATCACTTTCTCAGTGGCCATTTCTAGTGTTCTGGCTAAAACTATCACCGTGGTTGTGGCTTTCATGGCCACTAAACCTGGTTCTCAGATGAGGAAGTGGGTGGGGAAAAGATTGGCCTTTTCTATTGTCCTCTCATGTTCTCTATTCCAGGTAATGATTTGTAGTCTTTGGTTGTTCACATATCCCCCATTCCCTGAGTTGGACATGCATTCAGAGCTCCAAGAAATGATTTTACAATGCAATGAGGGGTCAGCTTTCTTTTTCTACTGTGTCTTAGGATACATGGGAATCTTGGCCATCGCCAGCTTTATTGTGGCTTTCCTTGCCCGTAAATTACCTGACAGCTTTAACGAAGCCAAGTTCATCACCTTCAGCATGTTGGCCTTTTGCAGTGTGTGGATCTCCTTCTTTCCAGCCTATCTGAGCACAAAAGGAAAAGCCATGGTAGTTGTGGAGGTCTTCTCCATCTTGTCCTCCAGTACTGCTTTACTGGGATGCATATTTTTGCCAAAATGCTACATCATTGTTTTGCGACCTGAGCTAAACCACAGAGAGCAACTCACAAAACGAAATTAGTACATTGTGTGTTCTTTTTGGCTCCCCTAATTAAAAGATCAAAGATGGTTTGTATGCCATTTCAGGGAAAGAACTTGATATTTGGTGCCTTTGCGATCCATCCTCTTTTTTTCATTGAGGTTTCTCTATAATTTCTAGATTTAATGGGATTTTAGTGTGGTCTAGAGGGTAACGAACTGTGGTAGAAACCAAGGAGCCATGAATTCAAGCTGTGCCTTGGCCATGAAAGCCAGCTGGGTAACTTTGGACCAAACACTGTTTCTCACAGGGTTGTTGCTATGTGGAAAAAATAAGGGAGATGGTATATTGGATATGTTTGCTGCCTTTGGTAGTTTGTAAGATAATAAAGTGGTATATATTGTAAAAAAATAAAATAATAAATGAAATGAAATGAAGTACTAATATGAAATGAAATGAAATAAAGTAATAAAATGAAACAAACCTGCTATGGCAAGTGAAAGGGATTGAAAGATGTAAAATGTACGATGACATCATTAACTAAATTCCACCCAGTTTGTAAAAGTATAGTGAGCTGCACAAAAGGATGTCATTTCCACACCACAAAGAGTATGTTTAATGTTATGTTTTATTATAATTTATTATAAATAGATAGCTAAATAGCTAAGTAGCTAGATATCCAGATATCCATAAAGGAGGGGTGGAGGGAGAGAAATAGATAAAGCAAGATAGAGAGATGGATGGATGGATGGATCGATGGACGGATGGATGGACGGATGGACGGATGGACAGACAGACAGACTGATTGATTCTCTGGACAGGACAAGTAGCCGAAATTATAATGAAAGTGCAACCCTAATTCAGATAGAAACTAGTTACTCTGTACTCTGCAAGTAATGCTTCCCCTGTTCTCATAAGTGGTGTGTGGGAATGCGGTGGCCATAATACATGTTTAAACCAGTTTAACTGGTTGGACACTTGTATGGAGCTTAGCACCGAAATAACCAGACTATGAAAAGCGGGTTAATATGGATACTCTCTGAAGGGCCCTATTCATTCTCTCTTTGTTTATAACATAGGCTGTGCCTGCAAAAGCAAAGATATCTCCTTGTATAAATATTCCTGAGAAGCAAAGCAGACACATCTCCTATCTCTTTGTAAACACATTCCTGAGAATCAGATAACGGAGATGGGCCTCTCGCCTGGTAGTATCTGGTACCAAGCAGCCAGAGTTAGATTTTGCTTTGCATCTTTACCATTGCTTTCCTATCTCTTGTATGTAATATGAGATGTGTAGCCATAATAACGCCTTCTGATGACGCTGTATTTGGGTAACTAATAAAAGAGATTGTAGCTTTTTGTTTGCTGCTCTCTCATCCCGAGAAAACACTTGTCCTGTGTTTTCCTAAACTGGAATCCTCATGAGAAGCCCGCCAGTATGAATTCAACATCTGGTGACCCCGACGTGATCTTGTGAAACAGATACGTCTCGACATGATAACCCGCTGAGGCTATACGTTTCTTGGAACCCCTGTTCTCACCGCCTGGAAGAGGCTGTGCACCTCGATTTCGTCTGAAACACGACGACAATCTTTCGTGAGTATGGGGGGGGGTCTTACCAAGCAGCAAACGAAGCATTTGCAAGAGCTTGGTGAGATATCCAAGACTAATATTACTATTTTAAAAGATAAAGGGAAAGTCCTGCCATGATATCAAAAGAGAATTTGATCTACCTTCTAAAATATGTTTGGCAAAATTACCCGGCTTATCTGGAAAAGGGCTCTTTAAAAGTAAAGACGTGGAAACAGATGGGAAATTGTCTCCACGAATCTCCTCAAGCCCCTGAAAAAATTCTGACACTCTGGAGATTGGTATTAGAGTGTTTAATGATACATGAAAAAAGCCTCCAGGACACTGAAAAGTCTCCTGAACTTCCGCCGTCATATGACGGCTCTTCTCCTAAACCTAACCCCTCTCCATCTAAATCTCCTGTTCCTCCTACAGCCCCCGCTTCCCCCTCCCCTGAGATGTTTCCTTTGTCTATTTCTGATCCCCCTGCTTCCGCATCTCCCCCCTCTGCTGTAGGTGCTGTGCAGTCTGCTATAGTAAGAGCCTATAGAGACGGAGAATTAGAAGATGATGAAATGATTTCAGCCTTTCCCTTGGTATTTGTAAATCAGGGAGGAGCGCAAATTCCGCAATGGGAACCGATCCCTATTAAATTGATAAGGGACATTAAACAATCCTGCATAATGTATGGTATCCAAGCCCCTTACACCCAAGGCTTGTTGAGAACCATGGCAAATGCCTACCTCATGATTCCGGCTGATTGGAAGAATTTGTTTAACATGATTCTAACAGGGACTCAGTATGTTGTTTGGCAATCAGAATTCCAACGCCATGCAATCTCCTTAGCAGCAAGGAATCCCCCCGTCACGGTTGAGGAAATCTGTGGCGAGGGACAGTTTCTGCCTCCTACCGCTCAATACGTTTTACCAATTCCTACTCTTAATTTAACTTCTCAAGCTGCTCTTGAGGCTCTTATTCGAGTGGATGACCCTGGAACCTCCAAACAATCTTTTGCAAAAATAGTTCAGGGTTCAAATGAGCCCTATTCAGACTTTGTTGAGAGACTGCAAGTTGCGCTCTCACGTCAAATCACCAACACAGATGCACAGAATGAAATTATAATGAAATTGGCCTTTGAAAATGCAAACAATGATTGTCGTGCCTTGCTCTCCCCATTAGTTAATACACCAGGCGTCACACTGGCTCAATATCTGACCGCCTGTCGTGCTGTTGGCACGCAAGCTTATCATGCTGAACTTATTGCTTCAGCAATACAAAAGGGGAATGAGAAAAAAGCATCTGGTAATTGCTTTAACTGTGGAAGACCTGGTCATTTTAAATCTCAATGCCGAGCACCTGGTGGTGGAGCGGCACGTAATTCAAATTCAAATCGCAGAGAAAAGCCAAAAACAATCTGCCCAAAATGCAAAAAGGGTTTTCATTGGGCAAATCAATGTCGAACAAAACTCTCTGACCAGGGAAACTAGGTTTGGGGCCAGCAACCAGCCCCGTCCCAAAGGTTGCGCAGGATCAACCAACCTCTGCACCATTAACAATTCAATATCCAATTTCCTTTGATCTACCGTATGCGTTGTGTACTGTCTTTGTTACACCTTCTTTGCATTTTGATGATAGTGTCTCTGTTCTGATTGAATCTCACCCAAATGCCCAACTAAAAGGCATTTCGGTTTTTCCTACTATTTTTTCTTCACCATTTCCCTCGCAATTCCAACTTCACCTATCTTCCACCTTGCCTCAAAATCTATCAGCTGGGGATGTAGTCGCAAAAATGATAATTGTATCGAAAGACTTAGATAACACAGAAATTTTAGCTGTTACCACCTCTATAACCGAAACTAAGCCTACACTAAAGGTAGTCATTAAGGGAAAAACCTTTTCTGGCCTTTTAGATTCCGGTGCTGATGTTTCGGTGATCAGAGCGGAGGAGTGGCCCCCCTCTTGGCCAACTGAAAATTCTCCATCCGTAAGAGGAGTGGGTGGAATCCAACCGGCTCGCATAAGTAAAAATTGGCTTCGAGTGTCTGCAGCAAATGTTACAGGCATAGCTAACATCAAACCTTTGATCTTACCTCTGCATACAAATTTGTGGGGTAGAGACCTTCTTTCTCAATTAAATGCAAAGTTGCTTTTAGAATGACTACTATCCCTCCGCTTAAGCTTTCCTTGTCCACTGACGCCCCCGTGTGGGTGGACCAGTGGCCACTAACTTCTGAAAAACTCCTTGCGTTACATTCTTTAGTACAGGAGCAGCTCTCCCTGGAGCATATAGAACCTTCCTTAAGTCCTTACAACACCCCTGTATTTGTTATAAGAAAGAAATCAGGAAAATGGAGACTCCTTTGCGATCTTCGTTCTGTGAATGCTGTAATTCGACCTATGGGACCCCTCCAATGCGGGATGCCCAATCCAAATTTAATCCCTCGAGATTTCGATCTAATTGTCATAGATTTGGCTGATTGTTTTTTCTCTATTCCACTCCATAAGGAGGACAGACAATTATTTGCATTCACCATTCCGGAACCTAACAACATTAAGCCCACCAAACGGTTTCAATGGAAGGTATTACCACAGGGAATGTTAAATAGCCCTACTATGTGCCAATACTATGTGGACAAGGTTCTAGCTCCAATTCGACAGCTTTACAAACACTTTCTTATTTACCATTATATGGATGATATTTTGATTGCAGCCCCGGGCCCTATGGGCACGGTGGCGCAAAAATTACCAACAATAATGAACCATTTAAAGGTGTATGGTTTAAATGTGGCTCCAGAAAAAATCCAAACTCATTCACCCTTTAAATACTTAGGTCATAAACTACTCTCTTCTCATGCTGCTCCCCTTACTCCTGTGCTAACGCTTCCCTCTGAGACTACTCTTGTGCAATTACAACAATATTTAGGTGCCATCAATTGGACTCGTCCGTTTTTTGGTATCTCTACTTCTGCACTTTCGCCTCTTTTTGACGCCCTGAAAAAAGGAAAGCAACCAGGAGACAGGATTAAATTAGGCCAAGAGCAATTGAATGTGGTAGAGTTAATACAAAAAACCGTGGAACAGCAATGGGTGGATCGTTGTGAGAAAGACACACCTATTGCTTTAATAATTATTAACACTCTAAATTTACCCACTGCAGTACTCGCTCAAAAAACTGACAAACTCCTAATTATTGAATGGCTCCATTTACCGCACACACCTCGAAAAACAATCACTACAAAACCATCTCAATTTGCTCAGCTAATCCAAAAAGGACGTCTTCGCTCTAAAGCCCTTATGGCAATAGAACCCAGCACCCTGTATCTTCCCTGTTCATTAGTAGATTGGGAAGTCATGTACATTAATTCGGATCCCTTACAAAATTCTTTGGCACAATGGCCGGGGGAAATTTCCTGTCATCCCCCTTCTGATCCACGACTGGCTCTTCTAAAAGCAGTCCCGTTTGTGTGGCAATCTCCCATGGCAACCCAGCCGATTCCAGACACACTTACGGTATTTGCAGATGGTAGCAAAACATATGGTGCTTGTGCCTGGAACGTTGATGGGCAATGGCACACAAAAATTACCTCACCCCAAACATCTGCGCAGCGGGCTGAGCTTGCTGCTGCTATATTGGCCTTTCAGCACTTTGCTCACACGCCTTTCAATTTGATTTTAGACAGTCTGTATGTTACTCAAATTATAAAACAAATTTATTATTCCTATTTGTCTCCTGCATTGGATTCTGATCTGTTAACCTTAATGCTTACTTTACAGAAATTGATTTCAGATAGAACTCAGCCATTCTTTGTGGCCCATATAAGAAGTCATCAGCCCTTCCCGGGCCCCCTCCAGGAGGGAAATGACAAAGCTGATGCTGCTGCAACTGCGCTCATGGTAATATCTCCTATTACACCATGGGACAGTCATGCTTATTTTCATCAAAATAAAAAAGCATTAGTGAAGCAATTTGGTCTCACGGCAGCCGAAGCGACTGCCATCATACAACAATGTCCTACCTGTAGTCAACAAGCTCATTCTATCCCTATGGGTGTTAACCCTAGAGGACTTAAAGCTTGTGAAATCTGGCAAATGGATGTAACTCAATACCCATCCTTTGCCCCATGGAAATATTTGCATGTTTCCGTGGACACTTATTCAGGATTTATTATGGCATCTCCACAAAGAGGAGAAGCAACCAAACATGTAATAAATCATTGTATTCGGACCTTTGCATCGATGGGACGCCCAATTGAACTTAAAACTGACAATGGATCTGCGTACACCAGTACTGCCTTTGCAGACTTTTGTAACAAATGGTCCATCAAACACAAATTTGGCTTGCCCTACAATTCTCAAGGCCAGGCAATTGTAGAAAGATCTAATCAGACCCTCAAAAACGCCCTGGATAAATTGAAAGAGGAAAAATGCCTCGGCCTCCCATCCATGCAAAACAAACTCAATCTTTGTTTATATACTTTGAACTTTCTTAACCTGACTGGACAGCCTCCCACGTCGGCTGCAACCCGTCATTTTTCTGCTTCTCCATCAGCTACTCCAAAACCGAAGGTATATTTCCGCCAACTACCTGATCCTGCATGGAGAGGGCCCGCTGACCTTATTACCTGGGGCCGTGGATACGCTGCTGTCCAGCATAACGATCGCATCATTTGGGTCCCCGGAAGACACGTAAGACCATTTCATTTACAACAAAAAGAAGGAGAAACCCCTGGTGCTGAGACAGCAACAGACTTTTAACGCATGGTGGTGATCATCAGCTTTGCAGGACTACACCGGAAGCTAGTCCCCTGCACACAGCGG